TACAATAATACCACTGAGGGTTTGCAGCAGTGCCGTAAGTGTGTGCTGTGACACATATGCCACCCGACTGACAGGACACATGGAGGTGAACATGTTTTTCTGCTGCTAAACCAACAGCTAAATAGTTCCATTAGACTGAAATAACATGTAACAAGATTAGTTACACGTTAAACAAGATGATCAGATGAAGAACAGGTTGTGTAGGTCTTCCCCAGGGGGGGTGACCAAAAGCATTTTTTTGACCATCAAAGGCTCTTAAAATTGCATGTAGAGAATTTTCAACTTGGAATTTCCCTGTCAGAAGACGTGCCATTAGTTACACCCGTATGTCACAAACCTACCTGTATCTACATACAGTGAGGAACAGAAGTATTTGAACACCCTGCGATTTTGCAAGTTCTCCCACTTAGAAATCATGGAGGGGTCTGAAATTCACATTGTAGGTGCATTCCCACTCTGAGAGACAGAATTTTTTTTAAAAAAAATTCAGGAAATCACATTGTATGATTTGTAAAGAATGTATTTGTCTTGCACTGCTGAACATAAGTATTTGAACACCTGAGAAAATCAGTGTTAATATTCGGTACAGAAGTTTGTTTTTGCAATTACAGAGGTCAAACGTTTCCTGTAGTTCCTGACCAGGTTTGCACTGTAACAGGGATTTTGGCCGACTCCTCCACACAGATCTCCTCTAGATCTGTCAGGTTTCGGGGCTGTCGCTGAGCAACACGGAGTTTCAGCTCCCTCCAAAGATGTTCTATTGGATTTAGGTCTGGAGACTGGCTAGGCCACTCCAGAACCTTGATATGCTTCTTACGGAGCCACTCCTTGGTTATCCTGGCTGTGTGCTTCGGGTCGTTGTCATGTTGGAAGACCGAGCCACGACCCATCTTCAATGCTCTGACTGAGGGAAGGAGGTTGTTGCTCAAAATCTTACAATAATTCATCCTTTCATTTCATCACCCCATTCATCCTTTCCTTAATACAGTGCAGTCGTCCTGTCCCCTTTGCAGAAAAGCACCCCCAAAGCATGATGTTACCACCCCCATGCTTCACAGTAGGGATGGTGTTCTTGGGATGCAACTCATCCTTTTTCCTCCAAACACGACGAGTGAAGTTTAGACCAAAACGTTCTACTTTGGTCTCATCTGACCACATGACTTTCTCCCATGCCTCCTCTGGATCATCCAGATGGTCATTGGCAAACTTCAGATGGGCCTGGACATGTGATGACTTGAGCAGGGGAACCTTCCGTGCAATGCATGATTTGAAACCATGACGGCGTAGTGTTCTACCAACAGTGACCTTTGAAACTGTGGTCCCAGCTCTCTTCATGTCATTGACCAGCTCCTCCCTTGTAGTTCTGGGCTGATTCCTCACCTTTCTTATCATCAGTGATACCCCACGAGGTGAGATCTTGCATGGAGCCCCAGTCTGAGGGAGACTGCCAGTCGTCTTTAGCCTCTTTCATTTTCTAACAATTGCTCCAACAGTTGATCTATTTTCACCAAGCTGCTTGGCAATTGCCCCGTAGCCCTTTCCAGCCTTGTGGAGGTCCACAATTTTGCCTCTGGTGTCTTTTGACAGCTCTCTGGTCTTGCCCATGGTAGTAGTTGGCGTCTGACTGACTGTGGGGTGGACAGGTGTTTTTAAAGAGCTCAGACAAGTGCTACTAAGTTAGATTAATGAGTGGAGTAGAGGTGGACTTTTTAAAGGCACAGTAACAGGTCTTTGAGAGCCAGAATTCTTGCTGTTTTCTCAGGTGTTCAAATACTTATGTTCAGCAGTGCAAGACAAATACATTCTTTACAAATCATACAATGTGATTTCCTGAATTTTTTTTTAAAATTCTGTCTCTCAGAGTGGGAATGCACCTACAATGTGAATTTCAGACCCCTCCATGATTTCTAAGTGGGAGAACTTGCAAAATCGCAGGGGGTTCAAATACTTCTGTTCCTCACTGTATGAAGATCCAGCAACATGTCTGAGGAAGGGCAAGTATCTCTCCATTTTCTCAATGGGAACATAGCCAGCCTTGGACCTGTGTACTTATTACTACACTGAGGACGTGGAGTGCCGCACAAAGGACACAATGTACAAACGTATCTAACATACCTCTCATTTCACACTTATCTGACTAGAACTGGCAATTAGAGGCACGGGACACGAGATAATGATACAATGTGGTTGTGAAATAATTATAGATACGCCATAAAGTAGAACTACAGGCGGACCTCGGTTAACAAATTTAATACGTTCTCCGGGACGTTTCGTATTGCAAAAAATTTGTAAACCGAAACACGCTTTCCCATAGGAACGCATTGAAAACTAATTAATCCGTTCCAGAGGTCAGAAAAAAGTAAGTCTTTTATCTGTTCAAAACTCTGCACCTTAAAGGCATAAATACTGTACAGGGACATGATGAAAAATTAATTTGTAAATGCATTGAAAACTAATTAATCCGTTCCGGAGGTCAGAAAAAATTCTTATCTGTTCAAAACTCTTTATAAAAATGTAACATTTTGCACCCTAAATACATGTTACAAAGGTGAACTTATCCTTGAAAGTGATTCTGTCATAAGAGGAGTATTGGGGCTGACATTTTTGAGCCTTCTTTTGAAAATGCTAAATGCCCACTAGTGTCTGAATTCAATATTTGAGAACATGCTGTAAATGAATCCCTGATTTCTATACTTGCTATGAATCAAAGAATAAGAAAACTTTGAAACCATAGCATTAGAATGGCAGCCAGGGAAAGAACATACTTGAAGAAAGGGTAAACAACAGCAGCCACATACTTTTTTTTTCATGATTCTGTAATAAATTTCATTTTAATGCCCTTTTCCCAGCAGCACACACCTTCCTTCACTCCCTGCCCGTTTATCTGTCAGGAGAGAATAAAGACATCCCACAAACCACTCTGGTTGGAGCTTACACACTGCTGAGGACTCTCTGCATAGCCCTTGGTGCCAACAATTGGCAAATCACCAATCACCCGCAGTCTCCTAGTCCCAGAAGGCTGCCTGGACCAATCAGAATATGCAGCGCAACACACGCATGCGCAGTGGGCACCTGGCTGTGAAGCCGCAAGCTGTCACAGCCTGGTGCCCACAGTTGTGATGCTGGTGCAGAGGAGAGAAGAGGAAAAAAAAAAAAAAACAATATTTATGACTTCTTGCTATTAAACATGTCCACTAAAAAAATGTATAAAATCAAATCACCGTAACATAAGTGGGAAGGGAGTGGTCACATGCTCCTCCGTATATCAGGAATGACCAGGTATTTTGCATTCAGTAGCTGAACACAAAGGATGGGGAGTGTCAAAAAGGAGAGTGCTGAGAAAGGGGGAATAAAGGAAACCTGATAATTTGTCCTATATTTGGGTAAAGCACAGGTCTGCTTCAAGTGCTTAAAAGTGGGGTTCCACTCAAAAGTGGAACCTCCGCTTGTTTGCCTCCCCTCCACTGCCATATTTGGCACCTTTTGGGGGGGGGGGGGGGGGGGGGGGAGCGGATACCTGTTTTTGACAGGTACCCATTTGGCACCTTTTGGGGGGGAGGGGGGAGTGGATACCTGTTTTTAACAGGTACCCATTTCCACTTCCAGCTCAGTTCACTGCGGCGAAGCGAGCCGGAGGTGCAGCCCCCTTCTTCCTCCCGCATTCTCCTGGTCCCAGAAGACTGCCGGACCAATCAGAATGCGCAGCACGATTCGCGCATGCGCAGTGGGCACCTGGCTATGAAGCTGCAAGCTGTCACAGCCTGGTGCCCACAGTTGTGATGCCGACGCCAAAGAGAGAAGAGGCAGAGAAGGGATGGCGCGGATGAGCACATTGCTGGAACCAGGGACAGGTAAATGTGTGTTTATTAAAAGTCAGCAGCTACAGTTTTTGAGGGATGATCAAAGGGTTAACTGTGTGCTGGGTGTGTTTTACTAGGGGGCAGTGTGTTCGTGCTTCAC